TTGTGCTACTATGTTGAAAAAAAATTTTTTTTTTATTGAAGTCCCCGTCTCAAAAGATTTTCCCTTATACAATTGAAAAGACATTTTTTTAGAAAAAAGCTGAAGATCCCTTTAAGTTTTTCGATATAACTTTGGTAAATGTTACTCGATCGGTACGTAATAATTACCAAATTGAAGGCGAGACGTAATGTTACTGATTTATGATAATAATATGATGAAAATCGTTCAGACTTTAAACAAATTATTTTAAAATAAAAAAATGTTGATCTAAATTTTTTGTAATTTTCCTATATTTGCAATTTTTATATTGCATGCATAAACATAAGTAAACTAATTAGTGTTTCTAGAATTTGTGTATGTTCAGTGTTTCCATACTCATTTGCATAAACAAAATTTTTCCACGATGATGGAAAATAATCGCTTTTCTATTAGAGCTATCGAAATTGTTCCCAAATTTTCAAAAATTCGCAAACTATAGCCAATATTAAAAGAAGATTCGAATATTTGGAATCAGTGACCAAAATACACGCCAGCAATACATATTAATGCTGTTCTTTACATCTTTTGACTATAGGCCAGTGCAATTATCGTGAGAACAATTAAAATTTTATCGAAAACAGATAACTTTGAGATTAACGATAAGCTAATGGGCTGCGAGAAATGATATTTGTCTTTATATTTTGCGTTAAAGGATTCATTATCAAATAATATGCACCAAACCTTTTTGCTGAACCCAGAATTTGTAACAAGAATTGGTCCTATTCGACTAGTGTGCTGTGGGTCACTTGGCGGTCGATGCGCGGGCTTTTACAATTAAAATAAAAGACTAATATTTTGCAGGCTTCTTATTGACTTCATGATACAATATATTTTCACTATTACCAAAGGATTTGAGAAAAAATAGATTTTCGACCAGCCCTAAAATATGTACATATAAAAAAACAATATTTAAAATTTCTACTGGTGGGACAGGTTTTAGTGACTTGTTAAAGTAATTACGTATGGAGTAAAAATTTGCTTACACAAAAATTACCGCTTTCTTTAAATTTGTTTGTAATTATTTTCCAAGAGATTTATGAAATGTAGTAATTTAGTTATATGTAGGTTACTTAGGTAATAGATATAATTAGTGGGATTTTTAAATTTATGTCGTTTTCCTCCTTTACATGGGATGACCCATCAAACAAAAAATATTAAAAAAAAATAGGTAAGTTGAATCCAAAGCATGTTTTTTTCCGCTATGAGAATTGTCACGCAATTCCGATGATGGCAAGGAGTTTATGTATCTTCCTTAGACGGCCAGGTTGATCATAAGTTGTAGGTGGATGACAGATTTAGTAATGTGTTAACCATATTTTTAATTTGTTTGTTAAATTTGAAATTTGCTAAATTAAGCACATATGCGTGTGTTGAGTGATATTAATCGAAAGCACAATAGAAATATTTTAGTGCCAGATGTGTATGTATTACGATTGACATTTTTTGTATGTGTGCTTAGTCCAGGGTTGTATTAACGATTACAACGAGATTTTATGTTGTGATGAGAGAAGAGTTTGGCATGTTTGATAGTCACATTAATGTCGATGTTTAAAACATATGTAGCTGAAATTGACATCGATTTACCATCAATTTCGTGATATGTATTATAAGGCTTTTGTTATAAAATGAGCTATATTTTTTGTAAAAAAATTGTTCCACATTGCGCATTATTTCTGTTCCGTTTTATTCAGCCGGCTTTGCACTAAATCTTACTCAAATATGTATCCTATTGTTTCAGATGCTTGCGGTCGAGATAGTGAGAGCGGAACGTAGTAAAACATCATCAGATGGAGCTTTTCCCACCCGTAGGTATATTTTCATGGACTATGAGGTTCCTGCTTGGATGGTTGAATGCTACAAAAAAATTGGTATTTTCGGCTTTGGAGCAGCTGTGTCCCAGCTCACGACAGACATCGCTAAATACTCGATTGGGCGTTTGAGACCTCACTTTTTCGCAGTAAGTTTTACCACGAATTCATAAAATGGTACATACATATATATGTACATTTGTGGGCAGCTGATTAAGTTAAGTGACATTTCAACCAGTTTTGGCTATTTTTCTTTTGTTTGTAGTTTTTTTTTTATAAAAGTTCAGCAGTTTACATAACCAGCAGCACATAAATCTACATTTCCAGCTTTGTACAAAAATTAAAAAAAAGAAACTTTTTCAATTACACACAAAAATTTTAAGCTTTTATTTCAGAATTTTTACACAAATTTTATTTCTGCAGTTTTAAATTATAGTAGGCTAAAGNATTTCCAGCTTTGTACAAAAATTAAAAAAAAGAAACTTTTTCAATTACACCCAAAAATTTTAAGCTTTTATTTCAGAATTTTTACACAAATTTTATTTCTGCAGTTTTAAATTATAGTAGGCTAAAGTGCAAATTTAAAGACGCTACATCGCGTTGAATTTTAATGGTTTTTTTTTGCTGACGGTGCTTGGCATTTTTTCCATATACAAGTAATTGTCGAGAAAATGCCAAAAAATAAATAAGAAATGTCACTTTACTTAATCAGCTGACGACAAGGGTGCATACATATGTTTGTATTTATGTTTTCATTTGCCATAGAAAGCAAAAATTTAAAGATTTTAAAAACAATTAGTGTACTTAAGTCGTCATGGAGAGCAGGGGACAGTTATGTTTGTCAACCGAGTATGGTAAAATGTAGGATGTTCAGCACTCGCTGATGCACATATCCATACATCCATATGTAAACGAAGCATACACATATGCAATTGTTTAGAGTAGAAACCANTAAGTCGTCATGGAGAGCAGGGGACAGTTATGTTTGTCAACCGAGTATGGTAAAATGTAGGATGTTCAGCACTCGCTGATGCACATATTCATACATACATATGTAAACGAAGCATACACATATGCAATTGTTTAGAGTAGAAACCAATATATGTATGTACATATGTAGGTATGTACACAGTGCATTTTATGTTTCCAATGCAATTTCAGAAATGGGGGAGATGAAATGTGTATTGGTTGGAAGCTTTGATAGACAGAAAAAAAATTAATTTGTAACACATGTGGCGTGGAAATGACANAATGAAATGCGGCAAATACAATTGCGCTGGACTCTAATATGTATGTATATGTACATATGTAGCTATGTACACAGTGCATTTTATGTTTCCAATGCAATTTCAGAAATGGGGGAGATGAAATATGTATTGGTTGGAAGCTTTGATAGACAGAAAAAAAATTAATTTGTAACACATGTGGCGTGGAAATGACGATGTTGTAACTGTTTGGTGAATAATGGTTTGAAGCCATTAACAAAGTATGTATTGTTGAAAATGCACAAGCGGACGGTTATATGTGTATGTATGTATGTACATTTGGGTGTCACATATATTTTTTGTGCGAAAAATTATCTCGCTAGGTGGCGCCAGGGTCTAGATATTTTGAAAAACGGTATTTATGGTCCGATTTTGCTCACATTTGCAGAATGTAGTTGAAACATAATAAGTCATAGATTTCCAAAGAACTCAAAATATAAAGTATATTCGACATAAATTCATTTTTTATTTCCATGAAAATTCGTTTAGAAGCAATTTTAACGAAAATATCACGATTGACTAAAATTGTCCCGTGCGACAGCGATTAAAATTAAATTTAAAAAAAGTATACATAATTTTTGGGTAACATCAAAACCACTTTTAAAATACATATGTACATCAATTCACCACATTCTAAAACTAGTCCTTATCTGAAATGATGCTCAAATGCCCACACTGAAAATAAAATTTCATAAAAATGTTCGAAAAACTTTAGTAGTCTTGGTTTTTGTACAACTTTTAGAACAAAGATTTTACGAACTATTCGTAAATATAACTAAAGGAGTTTCCTAAGGTATTTTTTTTCATTTCATTTTTTCATTTCATTTTTTAAATGTATAATCATTAGTACAATAAGATATAATCTTTTATAGTACAACAAATTGCTGATTTAAATATAAACAAAGAGAAAAGCATACGTACATACATTTGCAAACTTAAGAATAAAAACAAGGACAAATAAATAAACTAACATTATAATTATAATCCCTAAACAATAAAGATTAAGAGTACTAAGGAATACGATAAGAAATAAAAACATACAAAGATAGAAAATAAATTAAGAATGTTGATAAAGATTGATAGGTAAAGATAGATGGCCAGTCCATTCAAAACATTATTTCTTAAAATGTGCGTAAATAGATTGCCTAAAGTTGCTTCTGCTTAGACTACTTCTTACAACAGCAGGGATAGAGTTCCACAAACGTATAGCGCTGACGAAGAACAATCTCTCTGATACTAACGTACTAAAGTGAGGGACAATTAGATCTGTTACCTGTGCAGACCTAGTAAATACTAACTTATTAAAAAGATAACCTGGAGATTCCATAGCAATCAGTCTATATAGAAAAACACAGTTTCGGGCTTTCAAATATTCTGATATTTCACAACCCAAGAGGCTACACTTCCACGGCGATATATGCTCGAACCTTGTGAGACCATACACATAACGGGTTACATTATTAAACAAAATATCAACCTTGCGCATCGAGTTGCTATCAAGCTTGCTGTAAACTACCTCAGCATATGTGATTTGCGGCATTATTATTTGTAGGGAAAGCTAACGCCTTGTACTCAGTGGAGTATAAAATCCAGACACTTTTAATTTTCTTAAGGTAGCATAAACCCTCCCAACCATTGCATTAATATGGTCTGTATGGTTTTCAGTACAATTTATGAAAACTTTAGTTTATTTTACAAAACAAATGCGTAAATTACCGATCAAATCTCTATACCAATAATTTTATATATTGTACGAAGGCATTCGTAATATTTACGTGTGGTTTTAAAATATACGAAATCTACGATTCTGTATTCGTTTTATTTATTAAATACTTTCGTACATAGTACTAAATAGGGATGCCAATCCCGGGATTAATGCAAACAAATCCTCAAAAAACTTGACATATCGAATTGATAGTAAGAACTTGTTTATAAATATTGTTTTCACTGCTATTAACAAAACGCATGAAACTGTGCTTTTGAATTGCAGTCTGAGCCTTTTTTTTTAAGATTTAAAAGAATTTAGTCATAGCATCGCTAATGCAAACGAAACAGAGAGTTTCAAGGAAAAGTTAGATAATTTTTTACATCAATCTACTCAAAACTTCCTCAAATCGAAAAACTTATAATATGTCCGACGTGCTGGTAGAAGTTCAAATATTTTGTAATGGAGGAGATAGGGGTCATTATCTTCAAATGGCTTATGGCTACCTTTTGACAGTTTAGCCTAGAAGTTTTGAGGCTGAAATATGTTTTTCATCAGTAGGTTTTGTATGTAAAAACTTCAGGTCAACATTAGAAGACTCCGCTTTAAATACCTTGCTGCTCTTACGTACACATTTTAAGTGCAATAATAACAACACCGGCACTTTTATACCCTCAAAACTTCGAGTAATTTGCGAAAAAATCGGCAAAAATTCGCCATTTCTTTATAAAGTAGAATAAACATGTTTAGAGAAATGGTTTTTGTATATTTTTGTTTAATGTTATATTTACATGGCTCTTTGTGATGCAGCTAAATGAAACGTACTGTATTTCTTTCACTGTAGAAGACCAAATTACCTTTTCACATATCGCACACCGTTTTCCAAAGAGTCACACTCAAAATTTGGCATTTTTAAGATTATGAGCTAAAAATGTACACAGAGCTTTTATTTACCTTTCAGCAAAAGCTGCAGTAAAATTTTGTAATAATTTGTAAAAAAAAACCTAAAGTAAAGTCGCCCTTGCCCAAATGTACACAGAGCTTTTATTTACCTTTCAGCAAAAGCTGCAGTAAAATTTTGTAATAATTTGTAAAAAAAAACCTAAAGTAAAGTCGCCCTTGCCCAAATGTACACAGAGCTTTTATTTACCTTTCAGCAAAAGCTGCAGCAAATTTTTGTAATAATTTGTAAAAAAAAAACCTAAAGTAAAGTCGCCCTTGCCCAAATGTACACAGAGCTTTTATTTACCTATCAGCAAAAGCTGGAGCAAATTTTTGTAATAATTTGTAAAAAAAAAACCTAAAGTAAAGTCGCCCTTGCCCATATGATTATCATGTGCTAAGAAATAGCACGTATTATTTTGAGTTGTGACTTTTTTGAAGACGGTGTGCGATATGTACATCACTTTCTATACAAAAAGAAAAAATCGGTACCGTTTTTCCATAGGCATTATAAAATTTATTATATTTTAAGACTTACGCCGAAATATTCCGGAAAAATATTAAAACTAATGTGAGCTAGACCCATTTGAAAATACTTCTAAAACTCGAGTTTTTTATAAATAAATTTAGTTTTTTTTAATAATTTTTCTAGAAAATTACCTTAGATTAAGCTTAAAAAGTCTGCATACCATTTATTTTTATTTTTATCAACGGAATCAAAATAACGATATTTTTGGGGGTATTTTCAGTAGGGTCCAACTCACGTAAATCTTAAATTTTCCGAAATATTTTGGCGAAAGTTATGATTCCGGTGGAAAAACCACTCTTTTTGTGGTGATACATCCTAATGTATGTACATACGTATGCATAGGTGTGTATTGAGCGGACAAAATTATCCAGCAGCGAAAAATCTGAGAATTTGCAGCATTCGCTCTTAAAGAGACAAGATATGCACAGAAGTACGAGACCGCAAAATTTGCAAAAACTTGCAACCTTTGAAACAGCTGATCACTTCGATAGTTTCCACTGGTGGTTCATTTGGCAATTNAAAATTACCTTAGATTAAGCTTAAAAAGTCTGCATACCATTTATTTTTATTTTTATCAACGGAATCAAAATAACGATATTTTTGGGGGTATTTTCAGTAGGGTCCAACTCACGTAAATCCTAATGTATGTACATACGTATGCATAGGTGTGTATTGAGCGGACAAAATTATCCAGCAGCGAAAAATCTGAGAATTTGCAGCATTCGCTCTTAAAGAGACAAGATATGCACAGAAGTACGAGACCGCAAAATTTGCAAAAACTTGCAACCTTTGAAACAGCTGATCACTTCGATAGTTTCCACTGGTGGTTCATTTGGCAATTTATTTTCTGCTTGGTATATTTTCGCCCGGTTTGGANATTTGCAGCATTCGCTCTTAAAGAGACAAGATATGCACAGAAGTACGAGACCGCANATTTGCAGCATTCGCTCTTAAAGAGACAAGATATGCACAGAAGTACGAGAACGCGAAATTTGCAAAAACTTGCAACCTTTGAAACAGCTGATCACTTCGATAGTTTCCACTGGTGGTTCATTTGGCAATTTATTTTCTGCTTGGTATATTTTCGCCCGGTTTGGAATTTTATACAATTGAATAGTTTTGGATAAGAAAAACCTTTTTAAAATACATACAAATTAATTAGATCGGAATGAATACGTTATTTTTCCCATAATTATTTGTGATATCACATGGTGACGCATTCACAAGAGTATCTCCTCCAAACACCCATCATTCACCCACAAAGATTTAATAGATATAGATATATTATAAAATTTTCATTTCAACAAGCAACCTACCAAAACCGAAAACTTCAGCAAAAAAACATTTCAGCGTGCTGCATTTTAATCTATTTTGGTATATTTAAAAGAAAATTATGGAACAAACGAAAAATGTCATACGGTAACCATAGTCAGCACACACTAAAGTAATCAAACTGGAGATTAACAGCAAATTAACGAAAAATAAAGTCAACTCAAGCATATTAGCATTAATAATAAAATTTGCAATAAATAACTCAAAAAGGCCATATTTTCTTTTGGTTATTTACAAATATGTGTTTGTGATCAGCTGATTTTCTTACTTGCAAGGTTTCGCTGGAAAAAAAATTTTCCAGCAGAAATTTGCAGCACCCTATCACATTTTGCTTTCTCAATTTCCACTACTTTGCAAGAATTGGCTAAGTTAATCAAATTTCTATTCGGAAATTTTATTAAATTGCATCACAAATTGAATTACTTTTACATCTCTGCAGATCTGTTAAAATTACATGTTTCTAAAATCGTACGCCACTTTCTGGGGAAAAAATTTTCGATATAAATTTTCCGGAAGAAAAACATGTTTTTAAGAGTGATTTTTTTCCGGTCCAGTTCATAAATGGTTCAGAGTAGAAGTGTAAAATATATTTATTTTAATATGTATTTACATATCTTTGTTATTTGCTAATCATTTTCAATTTGGTTTTGTAATATTATTTACGAAGGTCTGTCAGCCCATCTTGTCCGATGGCACTACATGTGATGATCCAAACAACGCGGGAAAATACATCGAGGACTTCACGTGCAAAGGCGATGATTCCACGAAGCGCATGTTAAAAGAAGTTCATCTTTCATTCCCCAGCGGACACTCAAGCTTTACATTCTACACCATGGTATATACTGCGGTGAGTTTGGGGTGATACTTTTTAGCTATCATTCTAATGACTAAAGAATTAAAAATTTTATAGTTATACTTACAATCGCGCATGGACTGGAAAGGATCTAAGTTGTTGCGTCATTCTTTACAGTTTCTGTTTATTATGATTGCCTGGTATACGGCCCTGAGTCGAGTATCGGATTATAAGCACCATTGGTCTGATGTGCTGGCCGGTTCCTGCATTGGTGCGCTCAGTGCTGTGATCGTGGTAAGTCTGCCCTAATTTTTGGCACCTTTAGTTATCAGGAGAATTAATTACAAAGTCGAAATGCGTGTTTTTTTTATATTGAGTTGTCTGTTCTATCGAACGTAATCCTTTCACCATGCTATATAATATTACGATAGAATCTCAAAAGAAAAGTTAATATTTTAAATCATTATTAAAGGTGCGACATGTTCATCCATTAGCAAAATCGCCAGAAATAGAGTTTCATATGATCTTCCCATGTGAAAACAGCACCATGTTTTAGCACGACATTTTTATAAAATTTAAAGCAGGATATAACGGTCATCATTACCTCAAAAGTTACGACGGTATCTATTTTAGTAAATTAGCGATATGTATGGATTACGAGATGTATAAGATAACTGATTATGTTGAAGTAAATGCCCTTTTCATTAGCTTTTCTTATAAAACATTCAGAGTTTTTAATTGTAATGCGCTAGAAGTTCTGAAAGTCATAACGTAGTACATATGTATGTATGTATGTATTTTGAGAGGTTCATCGAAAACTGTCATATTCTTGAAGGAATTCAGAATTCAGTACAACAACTTTGTTCATATGTATAACGGTTGTTTGTAACAGCCTAAAGATATGAAGTCAGATATAGACAAATGTATACATAAATGCTCAGAATGAAAAGAGAAATCGATTAAGCCGTGACTGCCTGTCCATCCATCTGTGCACACAATAACTCCAAGGTTTACATATGTATAGATCTTGCAATAACTTCATTAAAAACTGAAATATCTTAACGAAACTTAGTACATGTACTTCTGGGCGAAATCGGACAATAACCACCTCTACCTCCCCTATAACGGTAGTTTTCAGAAATACGAAAACTGCGATATTTTAGTAAATACTGAAGCTTATGTACTCNAACGAAACTTAGTACATGTACTTCTGGGCGAAATCGGACAATAACCACCTCTACCTCCCCTATAACGGTAGTTTTCAGAAATACGAAAACTGAGATATTTTAGTAAATACTGAAGCTTATGTACTCAAAATCAGGGACATAACAGTTATAAGTTTTATAGCAAAAACGTTGCTCCATAACAGTTACTAGATGAGAAATATTTTTTATTTCGTCAATAAGAGTTATTTTTTACGTTGCCTGATAACTGTTATGCAGGAGAAATATTTCTTCCGTTGCCGATAAGAGTTATTTTCCAACGTTTATTTTTTACGTTGCTGGATAAGAGTTATTTTACAACGTTTATTTTTTACGTTGTCTGATAAACGTTGTAAGAACAGGTTATTGATGAAGATGGAGATGGAGAATAAGATAAAGATGATGAAATAAAAGTGAGAGAGTGAAGTAACTATTATCAGATAACGTAAAAATAAACGTCGAACAATAACTGTTATCAAGCAACGTAAAAAATAAACGTTGGGCAATAACTGTTACCGAGCAACGTAAAAAATAAACGTTGGGAAATAACTCTTATCAGCAACGGAAAAAATATTTCTCATCTATTAACTGTTATGAAGCAACGTTTTCGTTAAATTTCAGAATTCAGGCAACGTTTTTAATTTGAAAATTCGAGATAACAGTTATTTTTGGTCCCTGCTCAAAATTGATATTTACAACGATCTTTAGGCGGAAAATTATAAATTTGACACAGTTGTTGGTCCTGGTAAAAAATATCAAACGGCACCACCCACTTACGACCACATACATATGTGTATCCCGGCAACCGTTCCATCAATTTTTACCACACTCGATATGATTATTGTACTGGACTAATTAAAGCAGGACGTTGACAATTTTTGAAATTGGTCTAAAATTTCAAAAATATGGAAACTTCGATATTTCGATAACTGAACATGCATACATACTATCAAAGATGTTTGTAGTAGGGGTAAACCCACTCCTGGTTAATATGTAACGGTAGTTCTCGGAAATGTGAAAAACTGTATTTAATACGTGCCCGGGTATTTAATGTTCCGCTTCGCCTGAACTTAGACTTTTTTACCTGTTCAATTTTCACGTGCTTTTATTTGCCGTTTTATGTTCTTTTATATTAAAAAAAAAATACTTTTGAATCAAGCAAAAGGCTCATTGATTCTTTATCTCCTCAATTTTTCTAGAGCAACTTTCTGCCGAAGGATTGGTTCAATTGGAATACAGTTTGGCCCGTTAAGCATAATAAAATGCGCTGATAGCTATAAATAACCATACTGTATCCATAGGCTATTAATTAAATACATATACAGTTTTATTATACATTTTGCACGAATAAGAATAACTAGAGACTTACGCTTCAATATAAAAAGTTTAAACTCAAAATAAAGAGAATAAAGCCTGTGAAAAGCAATCAAAATTATAGTCGTTTTATTTCAATATCGATCGATTCGAAATTCCCAAAATAAAAATCCTTACTACTGTTAAGTGGGTCATGTCTATTATTATCGTCTAATCTATGTCCAATCCTTACTAAAGTAAGTAAGTAGTATGGATCAGACATGAATTATATAAGGCTCTGAGACATGAGCCACTTAACAGTAGTAAGGGGTTTCTTTTTTTGAATTGTGTCGTTATTGCAGAGGACTAACGATAAGTATGTACAGTATGGAGAATGTGCATATGTGCATATATATACATACGTATCGAAAATTTTATATGTATAGGTATTTGTACATATTTCCCCGATAGGCACTACCAGAATTTTTCACAAAAACTTATTCCCATCAAAACTTAACTATTTATATATGTGCATACATACTCTGCATATGTCTATGTCAGTGGCGGATCCAGCGGGGGGCGTTTTGGGGGTTAAACTACGTGTCAGTCAGTGGCGGACCCTCGGGGGTTGTTTTAATATGGCGCATATGTATGTATAATATGGCGAGTTTTTCCTTCAATTTTTTATGTGCGTCTTGGTGTCAGTGGGAAAATGGAAGGCACTACAGTTTTTCCTCGCCTCCAAACAGATGTTGCCTGAACCTGGGTCCTACCGGGTGAAGATACTCACCTCTGTATTGTAAAGTTTTCCAAGATTGGTGATTCAATGGGGAAAATGTTTAGTTATCGAGTTGAGAATTATACCTCTATCGTAATTTTTACCAAAATGCCCAGGATAAAAATAGCCATGTCTGGTAGACATGTTTGATAAAATGTAAATGGAACCACTGTGGGCTGTCCTTAATCTAAGGCCAAAGAATCATTCAAATCGGTTCACAAAAAAGAAGTTATCCGTGGACCAACATAAAATTAACAAAGCCACATGTCGAATAGATAACCTCATACTTTTTTGAGGTCGCTTAAAAAACTCAACCCAACAAAGTGCGGAACGTTGCCTGGGGGGCAAAGCATTTTGCAGTACCAGGTCAGTTTTTATATGAGGGAAAAGTTTTAAATTTGACTTCGTAATGCTTTTGGAAAAATATTAAAATTACCATCTGAGCGAAATACTTTGAGAGTAAATATAAAAATTTTCCGAGGAATATTTTTGTAGAACATTTCATTGCGTCATTTACTTTACAGAAGGGTCATCGTGACCCCAATTTTGGAACCTTACAAAAACGTGAAATTTTACACGATCAGAATATTTATTCGCTGAGTACAAGGCAGCTAAACAGTCTGAATAGTAGTTGTTGAAGAATTGGTTGCGCGTCTTGGCCAGGTCGGAACAGTGGAAGATTCTTTATCGTATCTTTTCATTCATGCGCAAAATTAAGTGTCCTGTTATTTATTATCTCGACTATTATTCTGAGAGAGAAGTGCTCAAACTATTTGGGAGCTTTAGAACGCTTTACATCAACTATTGGCTTAATTTGTCTGGTAGTCAGACATGTGGGATTAACGGCAGAACTGGTATTTACCCCCTTGATGAGTTCAGTCTTTAATCTGCGTTTGCAGGAGGTTAAGGTTTGCCCACGTCTTAACATTTTCATCCCATTTTCTTGTCAACTCACCAGCCATGCAGTTGCAGTATGCTGAGAATCCTACTGCATTTTATGACGACCTTGGACTTTGGTTCGTTGCATTTTAGGGATTTACTAGCAGCTCGGCTGTCAGAATATATAGCGATAGGCCGTTCTGGAAGGACGGAGCTATGAGCCACCGAGCGGACCCCATTATGTTCTCAAGCTCTGCCTGAAATACGCTGCAGTGGTCCGATAAGCGAAAACTGAGGCTTAGTGCGAGTTAGCTGGAGTGAATCCAGGAGTCTACTTTTTAGTTTAGCTTGGAACCATCGGCATTGATAGCCGTCGACCCTGAGTCTAGGTCTGTGGCACTATCCTAGGCTCGCTCAAGTCCATCAAAGTTCAAGTACTAAAAAAAATGTTTCTTAGCTAACTTCGATTCCCTACAAAAAAGGTCCATATACCTTATTATGTAGGACTAATACTTTAGAAGATTATTGCAATTTTAGTAAAAAAATGTATTACTTAATTTATTTATTAATTTTTATTTTTTTGGCCATGAAATGTTCTAAGAAAATATGAAAGGTATTAAGCTACGAAAAAATAATTTAAAAAAATTCCATCACATACATTTTCTGAGGAAATTCTGTTTTCATTTTTCTTAGTGTGCCGCAAATAATTAGCATTAACTTCGAATTGTTAAAAATTCTGAAATATGCATGTTATCAAGCCACTTAAAGAATGGACACGAAAATAAACTAGTTGACTATGTTTACTCCTCACTTGCGTAAAACTCACTGTAAATATAAAGTAAGTACACATATTCATAGGGTATATTGTCGATATTAATTTCGCGTATCTACTTTTTGTAGTGTGAGCTTGTGGAGCAAATTTTATGCAAAAAGCAAGAAAAAGTATGTGTGGTGGAGGAGTTTTATAATGCAACACAGACAAATGGAGCCCAAGATGTCTTCAAGCTAAAAACGTTGGACAAGCTCCTTGTTTTTTGTTATTTTTTGGCCTAATATATACTTGGTGTGGCAAGCCATCTGCCAGTGTGGCACGTGTGCGCTATAAAAATCAATAAATTTATCTGAAGAAGTGTTTGCAATAACATTTGCTGCCGTTCATAAACCAGTTCTGTTCTGACCCGATTTAGCATTGAGCCATTACAGCCCTCTTGACATGAACTGGTATGTCAGATAAGGAGTAGATATTATTCAAAAGGACAACAACCCATCAAAAAAAATCATTGAAAGAAAATAGTTAAAAACGAAAGAAGACATCCAAAATTAGCAGCATTTCAAAATTAATTGATAGAGGGCAGTGTATACCCTCACAAGAACGGGTGTCCGTAGCTTAATGAGAGGGCTCAAATGTAAATGGCGCCATTTTGTTTATAATGAAGATAATTGAAAAAAGTTTTTTTGTTTAATATAGTAAGCTTAGGTTGTTAATATGTTGTTATAATGATTTTCGGCTGACCAAAATTTTTCGTGTATATTCTTTATTACTCAGACCGCGCTAATTTTCCGCTTAAAAGATTACTTAATTAGCAATTAGGGTAAGTTATGCTGGCTGGCCATAAGAGGTCTCACATAGACGAATATATATAGCGTCCATAGCGTTTACGGTTTTCTTATGATAGTTGCATTTCCTGCATTTTTGTCCTCTATTAGACCTAATTTAATGCGTGTGCCCTGTTAACAATCCTATCACGAGCCTCGAGTCTGTTCGTCTTGTTAATGTTAGGAGATTAGTAAGTTTCCTATCGTACGAATTAAACATAATTTTTGCTAGTCTGCAACCCTTTTGATTTCCTCAAGAGGAATTGGTATATTTGTCATTAGTGAGGCGTCTAAGAGGACGCCCCACTTGGCTATACCGTCAGCCCTCTAATTATAATATATAAAGATAATTATCTTAGGTGGAGCGTTTTAGCCACAGCTAGCCTTCTTATAGCCTCCTTACAGTCGTCGACGGTCGTCGAATTTGGTTCATATGAAAGTAAAACCTTAATAGCCGCCTGACTATCTATGTATATGTTTAGTTAATCGCTTGTCGGGTTAATTTCATGCAGTATTTCTGCCGCTTTATTGCAAAGACCCCTGATTGATATATACTGCAGTGATTTGGTAGCCTAAAGGACCTATTAGCTACCAGTTCTATACAATATAATGCAGCCCCTGCTCTTTCGTCCATTTTAGAACCGTCTGTGAAAACGTGCGTTGCGTTCCCTTTCCACTCCACGCCCTTACGCCAACCGTAAACTTCTATTGTAGCTTTTAGAAACCTTTCGAAACACAGACGCGGGATTACGCAGTCTATTCGCCCAGTAAAGGATGACGCTATACTACTGTGACCATACATTTCGAATCCAAGCTGCGCTGCGGCATAAATCCTCGCGGCAGTTGTAAATTCAGTTGTATCTTCATGGCTACGAAGTCCTCTGGTGGCATGTGCAAGATTGCGTGCAGCTCCGCCGTCGGTTTTGTCCTCAAGGCACCTGTTATACTGATCATTGAGAGCCTGTAAACACTCTCCAGACTTTTAAAGTATGTTTTCTTTTCCGTTGCTGTCCACCGTGCCAAAACCCCATAAAATAGTGTTGGCTTAACGATTGCCGTCAATATCCACTACGAAAGAGCAGGAGAAAGTCCCCAAGTGCATCCCAACATCCCCTTACATGTATACAGTAGGTCTTAGATACTCAGCTACGAAAAAATTATAAAAAAATCCAAGCCGTAATTTAAGTTAATTAATTTTTATCTTTTCATGGAAATCATTAAAAATTCTGAAAAATAGATCTGGAAGTGCTAGAAAAACAGCTGTATTATAATTTAACATACCTAGATATTTTAAAAAATAAGATATTGAATGCCTCAAATTCCAAATCGATTAAATCCACCTTTTGAAAAATCTCTAACTTAAGTGCCAAAGCACCTGGTATGTTCGTAACTTTTATATTTATGTATAATAACTTTGTATAATGAATAGGCTATAAGCGGATATCGATGGTCACTTACTTTTTTCCCGTCTATGGGAGATGTCCGCTTATGGGAATTTACTAATAATAAATAATATTAAAATGCAAATATAAAAAATTAAATTGCGGGTTTGTAAATCAAAACAATATTTATTCTTCAATTAACCAGAACAGAACGAATGGAAAATAAATTCAAATTTATGGCGTTTTGCTTCCTATCGACAAATCGCATTGCCCGCTTGGCTCAAGCAAGAAGAGAATTTGGTTGAAGAACGCCGTAATTTAGAATTTGGTTGAAAACGCCTTATGTCGGAAAATTTTTCAAGAACGCCTTATCTCAGAAATTGGTTTAAAAACTCCCTATCTCAACTGATAATATATTGAAAATATGTTGAGATAGGGCGTTTTCGAACTGGCTACCGGGATAGGTTGATCTTCTACAAAGGTGTCGATATACAAATTTATTCGTCAAATAAT